TATACAAGTTGTAAATAGTACCTTTCACTCCCAGTGAGGCGGTGATGCTGGACAGAAACACCAAAGTCCACATCATGTTGAACTGTTTTCCTCTTCCAACCTGCTCTCTGTGCAGAACATAACTGCTTAAATACTAAAGATCAGCCTGGAGTTATTCAAGTCACTGAGGGTGAGAAGAAACACACCTGATTAAAGTCATAAAGTACTCTTAGCACGAGGTAATATTTAGGCCAATTAGGCCCTCTGAGCAAACTTCTCAGTGACGTCAGGTCATGAGTACCTGACATCTGAGTTCCTGTTATGTCGGTTACACCCTGGTGTTTGACAAATATACAGTAGTCACAACATTTTCTTTCTTCTTAAGTATATTATTATGACACACTAATAATATCTGGTCCACATCTTAAGCTTTATATATTTTTTTATAGTTGTGTTTTATAATAATTGTATTATTAAAATGTATTTATTCTAATTAAGTAAATAGTCATGTTTATTTATAGCACAAATATGCAGTACAATATACTAAATCAATTTTCTTGTGTAAATGTATTACCGATGAAAAGGACTTTCACGACGCAGCCTTAGGGCTACGTTAAAAAAAAAAAAAGAACAATAAAATTGCAAGATTCAAGTCGTAAGTTCATGAGACAAAAGTCGTAAATTTATGAGAAAAGTCATAATGTTACGAAACACGGTAAACACAGTTTATTGTTTTTAGTTTCTTTTGTTTACAGTCGCTCGTCAGAAGGACAAAAAACATTTTTAAAAAATCACAGGTTTTTTCTACCATGTTTAATTATCATTTTTGTTGAAGCTCTTGACTGAAGCTAAAAAAACAAAACTCAGTTGGTGTCACAGTCATACTGACAGATGATTTTTTTTATCAATTTTCAACTGTGATATCACTGTGGGAATCTGAACAGCCTTGATGATGATTTCACTTCTTATTGTGTTATTTTTTTATTGGTGATAAAGTCATTAATCACTGAAGAGGATATGTAGGGTTTTCTTTAGGAGGAAGTGCTACTACGTGCACTGTTGACTCAAGTGGACGTGGAGGACTTTCACCTTGATACCTTCACAGATGTCACTCTTAATTTAAACATCTGGGTTGCGTTATAAAAGTCTCAGTTGTTATTAGAAAATAGTCAAGAGTTGACCGTTCTCCCAGGACAGCGTGGATCATTCCTCCTCTAGATCCTGCTTTTATATCAGTGGTGATTTTTGTTGCAGCTCTCTCCTTTTCTAAAAGTTTCCAGAATTCAAATAAATCAAATTCACAGTATATATAAGTTGACATCTCTGCATCACAAAATGTCAAATGTTCAGCATTAAAAAAAGTATATCCTAAATTCCCCAGTTGCTGGAAAGATCAGGATGTAGAGTCTGAGGCCCATGAACCATTCACACTTAAAAAATAAATAAAAAAATATATAAATATATATATATATAAATACTTGTTTTATATGTAATCGATTTGTTGATGCACATGTCTCATAGTATCAGTTAAAGACGAGAACTGTGTTTAGTAGAAACCATTGTTACCATTGGCGTCTGTAGAGTTTTTGACGACACGACTGCTGTAAATAACATGGGGAAAACAAACATGGCTGGATCAGGAAATATAACATTTAATGTTTTTTTTTCTTCTCCTGGTTCTTTGAGTTTCATGTTGTTGATATAAACGAATCTGTTTTTTTTTTTATTTCAAACCAAATGAACAGAACACACGTAAGTCACGAGGACCCCCGGTGGGCTCTTTACAAATAAACATATAAGTCACAGTGAGTCATTAAAAACAAACACAGCTGCCCCCCCTCCCCCAACGCCCCCGAACACCCACGCACCATACCACGTGCGGTCGTCGGTAA